AATTTTCCCTCTCTCAAGCTTAACAGCTAACAATTTATTGCTTGGTCTCTTGTTCTACTGCTTTAAGTTGACACGCTAGATAAGACCCTTCGTTTTAGGTGAAAATGGAAACGCTAGCTGCCGTACATCTGCTGCTCGACAACTTTTGGGCGGTGAGTACTCTCTTGGCTACGGCGGTGTTGGCATTTTTTGCCCGGTATAGAGGTCAATGCAGTGGTGTCACATGGTTAGATTTAAATAACAACACGTTCAAATGGCGGCGGGAATTCACGTAGATTGTCATGTGGCCGAAAACCGACTCCGCATGCGTCCGTACGCGTCCTTCCATCACGCGAGACAGTGACGGCAGGGCGACATGAACCAGCTGTCGGGCCTCTTAATCATCACCCTCTCTGGCCCCCTGTTATGACTAGAATCTGACCCCGTGACCCCTGAACAGCTCTTCCTCCTATTTACTATTGATTGGTTGCTTCAACTTTTGTTCACTCTACCCTTCACTCTATATTACTGAATTGCCCGATGATGCATAATCGAAAACGTGCGTTCGCCCAAACTGACTTCCTGAATTCTTTTGATATCGTAAATAAAACAAAATCGATCCAGAAGAAGACTGAGCTGACTGGACAGACTGTTGTTATGCTGATAAATGCTTTCGTGCAGTGATTGTCCTGAATGAAGCATCGCAGAAATGTCGCTTCGTTGATCCTCTAATATGAAAGCATATGATCATCCAGGGCACAAACTGTCGAGTATTGACAAGTTTCGGGACGGTCAGTGTTTATCTGCGGACTATTAACCAATTATTAACTTCCTTACTGTTTTCCGACATTAAACGTCAATCAGGTGGATCGAATTTGTCAGTTGCGTCAGGGTAACAACCTGAATAAATGTATCATACCTTTTCTAGCTTCAGGGTGTTAATATTGTCAAAGCACTTCTTCAGATGGGGAAGAACAGCCTCTGGGTTCCTGCCTTGGCCAAGGATCTCTAAGAGATCCTCATTGGAGATGAAGTAGAAGCGCGGGAAGAGCTGCCGTTTTGTCTCCAGGTACATATCCAGGGATTTCTCGATCTCTTCGAGTAGAACATTCATGCCAGTCAACTCCTCAAAGAGACCTAGAGGGTAAAACCGAAATTAATTCAGCAAGATTTTCATCCTGTTTCTTAATGCCAATTCAGCAGTTTATGAGGAGAGTTCACAATTAGTACGAAGTGTACAAGCAGATCGAATCGACTTAGTCAGCATGATTATGATTCAGAATCGAGCTAGAAGCGCTCTTTCATCACGGTCGTTGATATGGCCCACCTCCCCTCCCTTTTCTGCATGACAGGGAAGAGGAACCGCTCGTAAACAGACAGCTACGTGCTAAATGATGGAAAATTAGGGTTATGATTACGAGTATGGTTAAGAGTAGGGCTAGCGTTAAGGTATTAAAGTGGAGGGCGTTTCTGTTCTCGTGTCTTGCTGGGGGGTGTCGTATAAACGATCCCGATCGGGGTGTTTATAAAGCGCCTTATAGAAGCTTGGATCCGAAAACAGCAATGAATAACCTTTTTTTCAAAAAAATCAGTGGTCATTAATGAAAGCAAAGAAAACCATTCAACTAGCAGTAAATGTGTCAGGTCTTTGGCCTGAACACGCGCCCTGATTGGCTAAAGGAAGTTGACCAATCAGTAGTAGAAACAGACGCTGGAGGTTTGGTCAACTTACTGACGCAGATATCACAACTCCTTATAAGGCGAACGGTCACACATGGGAAGGGGGATGTAATATTCGAAGGACTTACCGGGTTTCTCGGAACAGAATTTTGCATTGCGCATCGCGTTTATGTCTGTCATGATGACTTTCCATTGTTTGTTGATTTGATCAAACTGGGCAGACTCTTTTGGCAACTGTTTGCGAATATCCTCTCCCATAAATATTGTCTCCATGTAAACCCACTGCCGCTGCACAAGAAGCAGCATCTCACTGACTTCGGTGATCTTTGATAGAGCCCTCTCCCACTTGTCTACAAGGTCTTCAAAAGGCTTGACAAAACGAGAAGCCTTCATTGTCGACAGTTGAACCTATGGCGGGGAGCGTCAAAAAGATTTTAAGAAAACATATGGGCATTTCAGAAAGTGTTTTAACGAGAAACAGGGAGGGGAGTCAATCAGAGTACTAATTTGGTTCTCAAAAAGAATGGGGGAAACA